AGTTTTCTGAGTACAGATTCTTTGCCTCTTTGGTTAGATTTATTTCTAGGTATCTTAAGGTTCTGGGTGCAGTTGTAGATGGGATTGACTCCTTAATTTCTCTTTCTTCTGTCTCGTTGTTGGTGTATAGAAATGCAACTGATTTCTGTACATTGATTTTATATCCTGCCACTTTACTGAGTTCCTGTATGAGTTCTAGCAGTTCTGGGGTGGAGTCTTTTGGGTTTTCTGGGAGAGTTTTAAGCAGATTCTATGCTGAGTGTGGAGCCCGATGCCAGGCTCTACCTCACGACCCCGAGGTCATGACCTGAGCTGAAATCAAGAGTCAGACACTTAACCGACTAAGCCACCTAGGTGCCCCAGTACTGCTCCGTTGCTTCATTTTTTTTTTCTTTTTCTTCATGTAACAAGACATCCTGGACATTGTTCCTTATTTATTCATGTGCCACAGCTGTGCTGAGGCTGCATTACACAGAAGACTGCATCACACAAATGGCCTGCACTTGATGTAAGCGGTGCCCTGTTGGTGGATACTGAGGTCATCTCCACTCTTTCACTATTTCAAACTGTGCTTCTGTGAATATTCTTGTACAGAAAACATCTCACACACGAGAGCAGGTCTGTGGGATATATGCCTGCAAGGGACCTGTCAAAGGGCAGATGCATGAATAATTTTGACAGATATTACTAAATTGTTCACTCTAAAGTAGCACATAGAGAGCCTGTCTCTCTGCATCCTTGCCAGCACAGTGTGTTATTAAACTTTCTGATCCTCATTAATCTGATCATTAAAGTACTCTCTTTGTTCGTCTTAATTTGTATTTCTCTTAAATGAGTGAAGTTGAACATATTTCTGTATATTTAGGAGTATTAGTATTTCTTATTCTGGGGACTATCTTTTATCTTTGTTTTGGGGGTTTTTTTGCCCTGCAAAATTTTGCTATTTTTATATAGTTGGATTTATCATTCTTCTCTTATGGTTTGAGTTTCGTATCATTTTTATTAGAAAAGACCTTCCCATCCCAATTTTTAAAAAAATCTTCCATGGTTTCTTCTAGTACTTTCATGGTTTGTTTTTCTATATTTAGGTCTTTGGTTCATCCAGAATTCATTTTGATATAAAATGTCATATAAGAATCTTTTTTTCCCAGATGGCTATGCAGTTGTCCCAACACTATTTAATAATCTATACTTTCTGATTTAAAGGGCCATCCTCATCATAGACTAAATCTCTCCATTTGGAGATGTATTTTTTTACTGCATAAGCATTAACTATCAGTAGTCCTGGGCTTAAACTATGAAACCCACAGGATATTATCCACAGTACTTTTTCAGATCAGAGTGGGGTATTATTTGGTACCCGGGGGAGAAGAAAAGTGACCACGTGTTCCTCCAGCCCCCAGTTTGTGAGCCAGCAAGCGAAGCGCAGGAATCATCATGGTCAGCAACACAAAGCACCTGACCCCGGCTCCACCCTTGTTTTGTCCCCTCAGAGAAAAAAGGAACAGCCCTGGCGCACAGAACATAGCCTTGCCTGAGGAACAGTCCCCATCCCAGAATGAGATTTCCTTCTGCTGCATAATATTGCCAGCTTAAGTGTACCTCAAATTACATTCCAACACTTAAAAAATACCTTCCTGCTTCAGGTACACTCCCCTGGACTACGCTTTGCTGGGCGAGCGCCATGAAGTGATCCAGTTCATGTTGGAGCATGGTGCCCTGTCCATCGCAGCCATACAAGACATCGCCGCCTTCAAAATCCAGGCAGTCTACAAAGGGTACAAGGTCAGAAAAGCTTTCCGGGACCGGAAAAATCTCCTCATGAAGCATGAACAGTTGAGGAAAGATGCCGCTGCCAAGTAAGTTGGAGCTGTGGGGATTGGAATCAGGGCGGAAGAGGGCAGGTGGGGGAGCAGCCAGGAGGGGCAGTCAGGAGAGGACCTGAAATAATGCTGATCCCTGGACCCATGTCACCTCCCCCCTACTGCTCACCGGGACTGCAGAGCCCAGCGGCCACAGTGAAGGATGAAGGCCTAATCTCTGCTAGGTGGCTGTTCCTCTAGGTTAGCCCTTGATGTTCCAATGCAGGGACATACCTCGGCCGGCCACAGCCACCCTGGCAAGGAGTGGGGGGTGGGAGGGTACCTACAGGAAGCTGCGAGGACATACCTGCTCGCCCTCCTACCTTTCCTGCCCTTCCACAGGAAACTGACACCAGTATCTAGCCTACTTCACTAGCAGTGTCTGGTTTTGATTTGATTAAAGCAACCAACTTGTGTGAATAACTTGCCCTCCCCACCTATTCCTTAACAAATCTGTACTGACTAATGTAATTTATTCAAGAAATACTGACTGAATTCTTACAGTACATACAAAAGTCTTGGCTGGAGCCTTTGAAGAAAATAGTGACTAAAAGCAAAGTGCTTGCTTCAAGGACCTCACACTTTTTTGGATAATGATACAGAATGTGTAAAATAGTCATTTGTGCCTGTTATATATACACTGTGATTATTTTACCATAAATGATTGATTTTTATTTTTTATTTTATTATGTTAATCACCATACATTACATCATTAGTTTTTGATGTAGTGTTCCATGATTCGTTGTTTGTGTGTAACACCCAGTGCTCCATGCAATATGTGCCTTCTTTAATACCCATCACCAGGCTAACCCATCCCCCCACCCCCTCCCCTCTTCAGAGTCCATCGTCTCTCATGGTTCGTCTCCCCCTCCGATTTCCCCCCCTTCATTTTTCCCTTCCTACTATCTTCTTCTTTTTTTAACATATAATGTATTATTTGTTTCAGAGGTACAGGTCTGTGATTCATCAGTCTTACACAATTCACAGCGCTCACCATAGCACATACCCTCCCCAATATCTATCACCCAGCGACCCCATCCCTCCCACACCCACCACTCCAGCAACCCTCAGTTTGTTTCCTGAGATTAAGAATTCCTCATATCAGTGAGGTCATATGATACATGTCTTTCTCTGATTGACTTACTTCGCTCAGCCTAATACCCTCCAGTTCCATCCACGTCGTTGCAAATGGCAAGATTTCATTCCTGTTGATGGCCGCATAATATTCCATTGTATATATATACCACATCTAAATGATTGATTTTTAGATTAGGTCTTGGTTTTCCTCGTGGATACCTTTGTTGGGTACTTTACTTATTTATTTACTTACTACTCACTTACTTACTTTCATTTGCATTTATTCTCTGCAGAATTGACTCCTGGGCCATAAGTTTTTGTTTCTTTGGTTCCTTCTGGGGTATCTTTTTTTCTGTGCAACCTCCTCTTCTAGTTTAGGAACAATCTGCTCTTTTTCAGTCAGGATCATCTCGATGGTGGGCAGGGAGAGTGCATGTGTGGGTTAATCCGACCATGAGCCCTGTAAGTTCTGCACTGAATCTTGGGGGCTTTGTTCACCGGGATGTGCTGCATGACCAGAGAATCTGCATCTAAACCCTTAAATTCAGCACGACTCTCTGCATTTTTAAGCATTTGCAGGAAAAATTCAGCACTCTGTTTGGGCCACCGACCCTGTGTGCAGCCCCACTGTTTGGCCCGAGGCACACCTACGAAGTCCACCATTGTCATGACAGAATGGCATACATGGCTTCTGCGAAGCGACACCCTTGCAGTACCTGGTAGCTTTTCGGGTATGCATACCCTTGATGGCGTGGGCAGTTTCTCGCATGTTCTTAAAGTGAACACGAAGATGTGAACCTCTTGATTTGCATGATTTTGTAGGGTTTTCTGGGTTGAGCGAATAGCGAACCATTTTCAGAGATCACCTCAGGCTGCTTAGGGGAAGAGGAAGAGCGGTGGCTCCTCAGAGAATTCATGAGAACTCCCATTGGGTACTTTAAATAGCAGGAGAGTGTTGCACCAGTAGGCATAGATACCAAAACCACTGGTGAGACAACAGGAAGATTCTTGATGGGTAACTTCCTGGCTGTTCCTTGAATGTTTCCAAATCTTGAAACTTTCCACATCTTGCCCACAAGGGGGAAGCATCAGTGTAATAAATAATAATTTAAAATAATAATAAAAGGCAGGACAAACCATTTTTTTTTTAAAGATTTTATTTATTTATTAGAGATAGAGAGCACGAGAGGGAAGAGGGTCAGAGGGAGAAGCAGATTCCCCGCCGAGAAGGGAGCCCGATGTGGGACTCGATCCCGGGACTCCAGGATCATGACCTGAGCCGAAGGCAGTCGCTTAACCAACTGAGCCACCCAGGCGCCCAGGACAAACCATTTTAATGAGAAGTTAAATACCACTATGAACTGGGATCCTAACCATAATGGCATCGTTGGGTAGTTAAGACCAACAGGAAGACCTCAGTTTCTGTGAGTGAAGCTGCGGCAGTTTGTGGCATCCTAGGAAATTTGATCTTGCACTGTTCTCTTGATGAGGCTCTCTTCTCTTCACTTTTGCCAAGGAATCCAGTTTAACCTACAGCCTCTCTACGTGCCTCTTTTTCAGGCCTTATAAAAGTTCCCTGCACGAGAGTGACTACTCTAAGTGGGTAATACACATGGCTAATTATCCTGAGTTGCAAGTTAAATACTTTCTGGAAGGGCTGGACCATCGTTTCGCCTTCTCTCTGATGTTTTCATAAACTCCAGTTTTAATGTGTGAGAATCTGTTTTCAGGATTTGAAGTCATACCTACCTGAATATGAGGTGGGACTCTACAAAGGCAACGTGACTGACTTTGTATGTCCCCCCAAAAAAGGAGCCTATTAGACCAGATACATTCTACTTTGTTATTGTAGAGAGGGGGCCCTGGAGTCCCCAGACTCCCTTCCCAGCAGAATAGAAGGTCTGTGGTGGAACACAGCATTTCTGTCTCTGGGTCTCGGTTTTTTCATCTGTGAGACGCGACAAGTTAGACCAGCTGACTCGTAGGCACTCTCCAGGTCTGTGGAAACCGCCGAATCTTCACTGTTAATGACCTCAGCCTCTCCCTCCTCTCCTTTGCCCGTGGTCCTGCCCAGAGGCCACATGCCCAGGGCTGAGAGTTTGGACAGGCTCTGCTGAGTCAGTGCAGAGCCGGGAACCAGGAATCCATTTGTCAGAAGATCTCCTCTACAGAGGAAGGGCTTTCACATCAGGACATGCCTAAAGAGGGTCTTATGATATTTTTTTCCCAACTAGGTCTTTTGTGACTCCCAGCCATGACGGCTTGAAAGGGCGAGGGGATGCCTGAGCCATCTAGTCCCCCCCCCCACCCCCCATTAGTTGTTATCCTGCTTAGCGTCACTGTCGTGGAAGGTGCTGCCTCCTTGTTCTTAGTGCTTAGTTTCTGAAGCTCATTTTTAAAAACCCTTTCACATGGGAGCTGTGCTTACTGTGATAATGTCTGAGATAGCCCGAACTGGGAACTTACAATCTCCCTTCCTTTTTCTCGGTCACAGACTTTCCTTTATCAGGTGTCATTATTGGAAGTAAACAAATTTCTGACAATCTAGCCATCACCTCCTACAGTCCTTGTGGCATAGAGCTCCAAGGGAAATATTTAAATAGAAAAGAAACTGATTTCGTTTATTTTAATTTTATTTCTCAAAAGTTATTTCTCAAGATCTGAGTCAGTGTTTAATTTTGGCTTTGGTTTTTGCTTTAAGGAACAAAAATCAGAATGTTAACTTCAGTCTTTGCTGCTGCCACTTCCCTGGCCAAGGCGACGCAGGCACGTCCCATCACCCGGCTGTACCTTTCCCGGCGGGGCATGTTAGGATGGCAAGGATCACCTTCCTTAAAGCAACAATGTGAAGGGAACTTATTAAACTTCAAATGACTTCTAATTTACTGATAGAGAAAATGAGAGCGAGAGAGTGAAGTTTTAGTCATTTTCCAAGGCATGTTTTTTAGAAAATACCATTTAAGAAATAGCTAGAATCCACTTAAAAGGACTTTATAACTCACGCCACACCACCTGTGTTGTTGCCAAAATGAACATTTCTGTCATCGACCTGCCACAGCACACGGCTGAATGCTCATGAGACAAGACTGTATTTATGTTGCTCACTCTTCTCCCCGGAAGCTTCCTTCTTGCCGGGTTTCTATTTCACTCTCGAATCTCCGCTCTCTTCTGCCTCTTCCTTCTCACGTCTTCGTAATCACACCACCTCCTTGCTGAGGTCGGCTCTGCAGCCTCCTCCTTAGACTTCTCCTCAAGCTCGACTCTTTTCCACTGGAAGGGTATCTACTCTGGAAACTTGAGTGACTTCACCTCTCTAGACAGTCCATCACCCGGTCTCACATCCTGACCTCCTGGAACTCTGATTCCACATCATCAGTTGCCTACTGGGCATTTCCCCTTTGCTGTCCTTTTGTGACTTGCCAACACTTTCCATTTGTGTGTCCTGTTGTCACTGTCACCTCAGACTCACCGTGAAACCGGCAACTCCCCACCACAGCCGGTCTCTCTTCTCGCCTCCTTATTTCCCTGTGGCTGCTGCCACCATTGATTCTGTGAAGTCATCTTGAAATGTGCTCTTGCCTCCATCTTCAGTCCTGCTGCTGTGTGCCAGCCATCACTCTTGAATCCCATCCATGGTGCCACAGGGCACCCTTCACCATTCTGCTTCCACTTTTATCTCCAAGGCCCAATTCTCTGCACTACTACCTCCTTCCCCCACCCTCATGCGTGAGGGCTCAGCCATCCTGAACTTGCCTCACTTCCTCCCATTTCACTTTCCGGAACTTTCTGTGCTCTGGGAACCATGAGCTGCTTCCCGGCTACAGTATGAGATTGTGTGGGTCTCCCAGAGGCACATAATCAAGTCCAGTTTGGGTCACCCAGTTCAAACTCTTGTGATGCCATAGTCCCTTCTAAGGAG